AAAAAGTAAAGTTATTATGATCTTCAGTGCTATTCATGTGACCATTTGATCGTCAGCAACCAATGTTTAAACGAAAAAATAAGCTTGTATACACCATTACCTACGAACACGCTTGCGTATTATTTCTTTTATCTTTTCAATCTAACGGCAAACAAAGAAATGCGACCAATGTTATAAACAGAACCATGTTAGTGGCTAAAAAGGGGCATGGACATACGTACGATTCCCTAATGTAGTTTATTTTATCTGGGCTGTGCTGTGCTTTATACAGTAGAGGAGCGTGGTAATCATCGGGGCCCTTTTATCAACCTATTAATTGTCATAGGCCCCACTTAGCAGTTGAAGACGTGAAGGGTCAGCTCAATTCTTTGTCTTTATTAAATCATCGCGTATTTTTATAAAACATCAATACCTACGAGTATATTCTACACAAAAACATCAACACATCAGCATTTATAAACACAAGCAAAACAACCCATTACTAGTCCCCAGCCACTCAGATATAGTACGTTTATCTGTAAAATGCGATTTAGTTTATTAGTGCCGACTGCTTGTCTTTAGAATGCAACCTTTAGCTTACTTTTACATCTTATAGTATATTTAAGCAAATTAAGCTGATTCTGTACTATGTACTTACGCTAAATGTGCTAAGAATAAGCAAATGCCGCGCTAAAATATTGATCGATCAAATAAAATTGTTTTAAGCTTGAGTACGCAAGTAAATGAATTTAATCTTATTAAGTAGGAAGTAAATTTTTACAATTCTATTTTATTGATCAAAGCAGCAGTACGAGCTCATAAATTTTAGCAACTTGCGATTATCCCCTAAAAATATTTGCATACAGCTGTTAACGATTTTTGGTTTTGTGAAGCAGATGAAAGAAATAGTCAAACTTCTCAGCTTCTTTAACCGCAACTTCTTCATAACAGGCAATTATGATGTTGCGCGCGCTCTGCTCCATTCGTTTATTCGTAAGCACAGATAAACGTACCGGATGTGATATAATCGGTGGAACGCTATTGTATCCTGTAATACAAGTTGATCAAATTCTAAAAGGTTAATAGTCGTCTAGTCATTTACTGTCCTCACATATAGTAAAATGAGCCCAGATTCGTGATCAACCGCCTACTCGTGCAAATTTATAGTATCGCGCGAATTCCCTCGCCTTCTCTGCACGACACCGATGCCGTCGTGAAAATAGATTAAAATGCTAGTAAGATGTACGAACAGAAAGTAGTGGACATCTATCCTTGTCATGAAGCCAACGCTCGCAGCAAATGGCATGTTATATTAGGTGAAGCTCGAGTTCGGTCTCTATATGGCGCCTTTTATTAGGACTATCTCCGCCATAATGCGTGATCGACAGCCATTCCCGCTCTCGAAGGACGTCAACCTCAAGAGCATGCGGACTCGAGCGCTCACATTTCTTAAAATGGGTATGGTCCTTGTGGAACGGATGCTGCAGAGTAAAATACGAGCACGCGATGCTAATAGGTTATCGAATTAAAGCAAAATCTATACAGCTTGCCGCTTTGACTGTCATCCCAAACAAACAGCTGCTGTGGGTTTTAAACGGGGTGATGTAGGCTTTTAAAGGCGTTTCAGTGTCAAGAAAGTCAGAGTTCACGGTGAAAGCGGCTCAATCAACTCGAAAATGATTTCTGCGTAGAGCGACACCATAAAGGAGCACCTGAAAGGGGTACAGCTTGGTGAAAACTACAGCATGAACTTGTAGAAAAGCCACCTTGTCAAATATGCTGGCGATCCCTGGTGAACTAAATTGGGAAAGCATCGTGATAGGCAGTGTCAATCTCTGGATATTGGAAGCGGTTTCTCATTCAAATGTTAGGAAACTAAAGTACAACTATCTCGATTCGGGATCAGCTTACCAATAGTATAGGGCCTGGATTGGTCTTTCTTATTTTATTGTATCAAGATCAAGATAGAAAACGTGTGATAACATAGGCTTTGTAAATTAAAATTGAATGACCGTTACCCACGAGGCGTGGCTTTACGGTCGGGATCATTCGTAACTAGTAACATCGATAATATTCCCCGTCGATACATTTTTTAAAGTTAACTAACAGAGTCGGACCTGAGAAAGGTTCAGTCTATGGGCGAACCTGAGACCAGCTGATTTTTACTACAACTAAAGATAGATCGGAAGTGAATCACACCATATTCCCATCAATACCTTAGACTCTACAGCCGGAGCTCGATATTTGAATTCGTAGAAATATATGTAGCAATGGTTGATCGTATGATTTGATAAGAATAAGTTATGAAGAATGACAAGAACAATCCTTACAAGTTTGGATCAAAACCGCAGTATGAGGTGGAAAAATTGATACCATAAAGTAATTTGAAAACGTTTGGCTCATAATTTGGATAAAAACTACAATATCCTTGCTACAATTACAATATCCTGGGAAATCGCAATATTATTAATGAGTTCGTATCTGAGAGATAAAGTCAACGTTAGGCGGTAGGGTACAATGTGGCGGTTAACAACGTAATAATAGGATTAGGCCGGGAACTGACCCATGTTGGAGGTAATTATAGTGAAAGATGATGACATAAATTTGGAGGTTTTCATATCGTTTGTAAATTGTCGATGTGATTGCTATATTTTTGTTCAATTAACCAACAGACTTGATGTCTACGCCTTCCTATAAAGACACGCGTTTCCCTTCTTCGGGCAAGATTTTGTTGACATTTCAACGATTGAAGACTTACGACACAGAAGGCTGATCTAATATTGAAGTTCAATATTGAGGAGACCGATACCTTTAGACTTGGCCTACATCGTGCAAGTACTCACAAGGCCCCACTGCTGCTAAATTCAGCATACTAAAAAGGATTTAATTGTGAGCTCGGAGGTTGAAGCTACTAGTGACTGCGTAAATCTGAATGCCGATCTTTTAATCGTACTTATCTGTTTCTGGCAGATAACGCGGTTAGGTGTATCCTCCACGTACTAAGTACAATCAAGCCCGCCCATAAGTACATAGGCATATCCAAAGTCACTTTTTGGCTAGGTCAATAGTGTGAAGCACGCACGTGATTGGCTTGGAATTGACTGAAGGTAAATATTACCACATAAGTAAATGCCGGATGCCCATACGCAAAGTCTGACCGCGTCCTATAAGTAAACTGTGCTAAATTAATACGTGCATTAGCAGCAACATACCCCTTCATCTATCACTGCTCTTGTGTAACGGGGCACCCGGAAGCTTGTACTGGTGACAGCACAAGCTACATATTCTGATGACAGAATAAGGAGGCGCCTCGTAACTTCACGTACACTGGTACGTGCAGAGGAAGACGGTAAGAAGAAGCGAGTACTTGGTTAGAGTAAAAAGTAGAACTGTATTTATAATAGTTAATGTCTGCAATAAATCACTATTTATCTTCATCTAACTATGTCTAAATACAAATGTGTAAATCAACTATCTGCTCACCACTCATTGCGTGCGTCTGTCGTGGCGCGTCTTCGTTGGTTGATATGAAGGCCTATATCAACCAATTAGGAACTACTTGTAAGTGCTACAGAATATTTGTCCTTATGACAATATTCTGAGAATACAACTCTCATAGTTATATTCTATCAGCAATTTCTTATAAATTGTAATGTAACTATTCACCCCGTTACATCACCCTTCCCCTTAATCATCAGTCACTTTAGTGACTGATTGACTAAATGGATACTCGTCCCAAATCATTTGGGACGGGGTTTGCACTTGTTGGTCCGAGTCCACTTCCCAACATTCATCGCATGGTTAACAAGCCCATGCGATGCGCGAGCAAGGCCGCCGAGAGCGCGTCCGCACGTCTCTGTGCGGACGCCGAAGCAGAAATCACAGCAACTGATGTCTCATCGGTTGCTGAAGCGACCCAGCCTGTATCACTTGGTGATGCAGGCGCTGGTCATGAAGACACTCGTGTCTTCACAGAGTATGAGCTCGGTGTCTCATACTCTCCTGATACGGATGACGGATCCGTATCGACGGCGATTGAATCTAAGCCGCCTGCCAAGCGTGGCATGGACGATGCTTTGCGTCGCAGCATCTTTGGTTCATCTGATTCATCAGATGAACCATCGCCGAAGCGTAGGCGCTCGAGGTCGCGAGACTCGGGCGCTAACAGTGGTGTCGGTTCTCCTATGGACACCACTTCGCAACGAGGTGCCAGTACTTCTGTCGGCACGTCGCAGGAAGAGCGGGACCGCAATGTGTTGCGTCTCGCTCCTGAGAAGAAGGCATGGATGCCTCCCAAATCCGTCATGGATCACTTGTCGGCGACGACGAGTGATCGTTATCGAACACGATTGTTCGATTCGTCAAGGATCCATCACTTTGACCCCAGCGCGAAAAACTATCGCGCTGAGAATGAATTCTTCATCGATGCTTTCTTTAGACATCGATGGTACAGTGGGAATCACAAACGTGGTGGTCCCTCACTGCTTCAAGCGTGAAACACCTACATCCATAACCTTGAGGGTGTAGGTCGTGACGTTTGGAACGACAAACTTATCAAAGCTCGTGATAAGTTTGAAAAGCGAACCCCGACAGGTGCACGCTACAAGCTGCATCGTCTGTCAAGGGAGAAGGGATTACCCTGCCTCTCATGGGGAGACTCGTGCCCATGTTGTGTGAACAACTCTGCACGAGCACCTAAGGAGGCTTACCTCCCTAATAGCCCGCGGTGGCGCGTACGTATCTCTAGTGAGATGTAAGAAGGGATTGACAACCTGAAATCCCTTTACGACCGTGCCGGGAAGACTTTCTCCGGCGTTCCTTCTGCGGCACAGGATGTGCCGCGTCTTACTGCTCAACCAGACCCAGTACGTCGATCATCAGTTAGGAGCGGGGCTCCCAAGCATCCCAGGACGGGAGATAGCCGTGCCACCGGACGAGATAACTCGTCCGACGTCCGTTCACGTCGCGGTGGTTCAACAGCTGCTCAACGAGATAGCGCTGACCACCGCGAGAGTCCTCTAATGGAGGTGGAGGAGGAGGAAAGACGCTCTCCACACGATCATGGGGATCCGTGTGTTCCCGAGAGCTTCTTTGATCGCGTAACGCAAGGGTTACGCAACGATCTCGAACATGAGCGGGACAGGCGTCTCCAAATGGCGGACACTGTCTTGAAGCATCGAGCTGAGTTTGCCTTTGCTCAGCTTGAGAACGAGAGATCTCTGACATCTCTTCGTGACGAGCTAAGGGTAGCTCGTGGGATTGTTTATCGGTCTCGGGATGAGATAGCTGCTCTTCAGACCCTTGTTGATGCCCACCATCGGGAGCACAAGGCTCTCTGCGAGATGCTTGAGCGCAAGGGCGTTCTTCATCGGAAGAAGCAGCGTACTGATGGTACGGCTTAAGCCGACCAACGTAAAACGTGGGATGCGTTCGCATCTTACGTGGTAACTCGATCGTGTATGCATTGCCTAGGCGGTGCAATACACGAAATGGGCCAATGTACTTGGGTAGTAGTTTACTGCTACCCAAGTTAGTCACTACATGTTTTGGTAGATTAACCGTAGACAGTAGGACTAAGTCACCTTTATTAAATAAAAGAGTGTTTGCCCTTCCATTCTTGTCAGCGTTTTGCTTTTGCTTATCCACCGCTTCGGCGATGGAGTCTTGCACAAAACGGACTACCGTTTCACGAGCCAGTATGAACTCATCTGATGACTCGTTAGCTTCAGTGTGCTGTGAGCGCACTGCAGCAACAACAACCTTTTCTTCAGTGAGGGCTTCCGCACTCTCACTGGGATCATTGTCTTCAGTGAGGGCTTCCGCACTCTCACTGGCATCATCTTCTTCGATATCGATGTTATCGATATCGGCATCAAACGCAATGACTTCTTCGTCAGAGCGTGATGAGCGTGAACCAATTCGGTTTTTGCTCGCGCGAGTCCCTCCCCCCTTAAACCAGAGTTACACTCTAGTAAGGTGGGTACACGCGGATGGCGCAAGCCATTCACGTAAAACGGTGTATGTGTCGTGGACGCATGCACCGAGTTGTTGATGGCAAACTCTACCATTGGCAAAAACTCACTCCAACTCTTAAAGGAGTGTACGTATCCTCGAAGTATCTCTTCAAGGACACGATTGGCACGTTCCGTCTGACCATCTGACTCTGGATGATCAGATGTCGACATCTTCAAGCGCGTTCCGAGTGATTTGAACACGGAACGCCAGAAATCAGCAGTGAATCGTGGATCTCTGTCTGATACGAGTTCACGGGGCAACCCATGAAGTCGGAAGATGGTGTCAATAAAGACACAAGCACAGCCACTTGCCGTGATTGTCTCTGGTACAGCCACAAGGTGTACCATTTTGCTGAATCTGTCAACAAATACGAGAATACCCGTATTCCCGCGTGTGTCTTTGGGTAACCCGAAGACGAAATCCATTGAGATGGATTCCCAGCACTCAGCCGGAACCGGTAGAGGCTGTAAAGGTGCACGCAGTGAAGGACTTGACTTCACTCGTTGGCAGACTTCGCATGCGCGAACATACTTTCACACATAATGATACTGGCAGGGCCAGTAAAAGTCTCGACCCACCGTGAGATACGCTTTCTCCCGGCCACGATGTCCTCCTATAGGAGCATCGTGATACTCGAACATGATCCGCAAACGCAGATCAGTATCATCTGGAATGACAACACGTGGTGTGTCACCAGAAACGGCTGTATAATACAGTAAACCGTTACGAGTAGTGTATCGATCTGATGCAGATCGATACGCAGACGACAATCGTTTCAACGATTCTCGAGATGATTGGGAGAGATGTGTCAACAACTTCACAATCTCACCATCTTGGGCGTATGCCCGCCTCACATCATCATACAACGTTGTAGATGGGACTGAGGACGTCATAACCGCAACAGTGACTGTCTCACTGTTGGGTTTCGCGACTGTTTCAAAGTCGGGACGACGTGAGATTGCATCAGCGACGACATTAAGTCGTCCTGGTTTGTACTAGACCGTAAAGTTGTATTCCGCAAAGAATGACAACCACCGCGCCATTCGTTGTGAAAGGTGCGGGCTGTTCACTGCCGTGCGTAATGACGCATGGTCAGTGTAAACAATGAGGCGTCTATCTCCTAATAGATAGACTCTGAACTTCGCGAGTGCATACTTCATGGCAAGGGGTTCCTTGTCACGCACTGGATAGTTCCGCTCAGCTGGTTGCAGCTGACGCGACTGATAGCAGACGACGCGTTCAACGCCTTCAAGATCGTACTGCATTAATGCACAGCCGATTGCGAAATCGCTGGCATCACAGACCACATGAAATGGCCTATCTTGATCGGCTATTGCTAGGACTGGGGATTGTATCAAGCTCTGCTTGATACCCTCAAAGGAGCGCTGACATTCAGCGTTCCATAACCACCTCTCGTTCTTTTTTAACAAACGAGAGAGGTGCACAGTCATCTCGGCGTAATTGCGTGAATACTTATGCAAATACGCCGCTAGCCCAAGGAATTTTCGAAGAACTTTGACATCAACTGGCACAGGCCAGTCGGTGATCGCCTTGATCTTTTCGGGATCAGGAAGTACACCGTTCTTACCAACGATGCACCCAAGAAGTGGTATTTCGCTTGCTGCAAATATACACTTCTTGAGGTTTGCATACAATTGATGCTTTCGCATGATTGTAAGAACCTGTCGTACGTGGTATCTGTGAACCTCAACGTCCGACTTTCCATCCATAGCTCGACTATGGATGAATACGTCATCGAAATAACTCGGCGCGAATTCTCGTACTGGTCTCAACAGATGTGATACACATCTGTTGAACGTGGCAGGGGCATTACTAAGCCCTTGTGGCATTACTAGCCATTCCCAGAGCATGCCGCTAGGCGTGCTAACTGCGGTATAGGGTATATCCCGTTCCCGCATAAGGATTTGGTAGAAGCCATCCATCAAATCCATGGACGAAAAGATGGTACTCTTTGACATACCATCAATGATTACGTCCTTGCTCGGTATCGGCGTCTGAGCCGGTACCGTTGCAGCGTTCAATTTGTTAAACGCGTGCACTATCCGCCACCCTCCTGTTGCTTTTCGCACACAGAAGGTCGGAGAGCTATGTGGGGAAGTTGATTCCCTCACATGGCCCGCAGCTAAACGATCGGCAAAGAACTTGTCGATCGCAAGTACTTGTTCACGAGGCAGTGGCCACTGCTTCATGACACAGTACTTCGAGCCTGGTTTAAGCTCGACCTCGTGTCGAATACCTTTATCCTTCGGTAATTCGCACGGAACAGTTTCAGGAATACATCCTTGAATTCAACCAAATCTTTATAAAGAGGATTTGTCTTGAGCGATTCCCATGATTGGGACTCATATCGCTCAATTCGTGTCTTTTCATCTAGGACACTCTCGTCCATAGATGAACTACTGAGAACTCTCTCGTTCTCAGTAAACACTGTTGCTGACCTTATGCCAGTTACACACTCGTCGTCAGCGCCGAGTATGCAGATCTGCTTGACTTTGCCACTACGCAGATCACGCAAGAACATTTTATGTTCGCGCGTTGGCAACTGAGTGATCTCCGAAGTCAACTTCGGAGGCGCAATCAGATCAAGTGTATGAGCGCCTACACTTGATCCGTTATTGACTATGACATTCAATGTCTCTGTCATTTCCTGGGGACTTATTCCCTCAGGCTTCGAAGGACTTATTTCTTCGGCTTCCCGGGGACTTATTCCCGCGGGTTTCGGGGAACTTATTTCCGCCGTATTTGTAATCTTGGGACTTATTCCCTTTACTTCCTCTAGCTGGGGTTGCGCAACCACAGCGAGATCCTCTACGAAAGACTCTCCAGTCGATCTAGGATTATCGTTTCGCTTAACCTGAGCGATCGATTGTTTCTCTTCTAGATGTTCCCCGCTAGGGATACATCTTTGTCCCGGTCCACCCGACTTATTCGAGTGGTGGACCTTCGGCGCAGCCTGTGTTTCCTCACAGCCGCCGGAACTTTGCTCCGAAGTGTAACCGTTTGGTACACTAAGGTTTTGTGCAGTCGTACTAACGACCGTACCACAAGTGAGGCCATCACACTCACTCGTAGTACATCCACACGCTTGTGGACGCTCCAAAACGTTCATCAGATGGCCATCTGATGAACAAGCGGCAGGCATCGTTACTGTCCGATGTTGCCAGTTTACCCGTGGTTCGTACCTTCTGAGCCACGGTATTCCAAGGATGACATCAAATTTGTCATCCAAATCCAATACGATAAAGTCATCGTCATATTGGGTATCTTCTAGCGTATAGTGGATCTTCACTATACGCTTCATGACGGTTACGGATGCGCCTGTCGCAAGACGTACCGTCATCCTCGTAGGAGGTGTGTCACATTCACTGAACTTAAAGTGACCATCTTCTAGTGATTGGCGTTGCACAAAATTGTTGGACGCCCCACAATCGACTAGAGCTCGAAGGGACAACTTATTCGTCACTTCGAGTTTCAAGGTAATGAGTGAGATCTCATTACCTAGAGCAGCAACGCACAACGTTTGTGTGTTGGGAGCAACCTTCATCAAGAGGCCTACAAATTCTCTTGACGTTGCTGGACCAGTAGGGTGCTCCGCACCTACTGATCCTGTCCGTTTTTTGACGGTCCATCCCGTTGTTGCGTCTTTGCACCAACAGCAGACCCTCGTCCCTGCCCCTTTCTCATGGGTGGACGGTCATTACGCCCAGTGTCGCGAGACACTGGACGAGGGGCACTACACTCGTAAGCGTAGTGTCCTGTCTTTTGACATCTGTTGCATCTCTGCAACTTCTTGTAGCCTGTAGAGCGAGCCTTCTCGCTCTCTACATAACAGAGTTCCATCGGCTCTGAACCTCCGTTGTCATATCGTCTCGGTTGACGATATGATGTCGAGCTGGCGCGAGCCTGTCTCATACTGAAGTCTTCCTGCTCCGCAATGGAAATGGCTTGTTCTAGTGAATCTAGTTCAAGCCGGAACAGGTGAGTCTTGACGGGACCATCCGCAAGTCCCTGCATGAACACCGAAACCAACGTGTGTTCATCCACCGGATTGGAACTTATACAACTCGTGAGATGTCGTATATGTTGCGCGTAAGCGTGCACATCACGCTTACCCTGCTTGAGCTTCAAGAGTTCGGTTCGAGCTCTGAACTCAGCTCGAGGCGGTTCAAACGTTTGTCTGAGCCGCGACTTGAAGACTTCCAACGACCCAAACGCATATGGGTCGTGCAACTTGAGCCCCAGTGCCCAAGTCTTGGCACGTCCTGCCAGATTTGACTGGGCAAATGCAACTTGCATATCCCCATCGTCGATGCGACGCGCCCTTATGGCGTCATCCAATTCAACGAACCATCTCAAGAGGGAGTCC